GGGGGGGGGGGGGGTCGCTTGTTTTCTCCGCGCGTGAGTGATCGATTACGCCGCCACGCCGTATGGTCATCAACCGGGCGGGCCTCTATTGGCTCGTGAACAAAACTCAAGGAAGGAGCGGTGACACTACTCCTGCTGCTTCGGTATTTTTTGTGCGGAGTTAACGGTAGAGCAGCAGCGGTGCGGTGCGTTTTCATCTCTCCGGCCCGGTGTCCACCGCGCATCATCCATCATCATCTCCAACAGCAAGAAGGGTGTTTCGCAGTTCTTTCAACTCACACGCGACAAGCGCCTGGACGTGCACACGTGCGTGACGACTGGAATACTTGATCCTGTGTATGGCAAAACATTTCGGAACTGCGTTTAAGGTGGTGTTTTCTGCCGCTGTGCTGCGCGTGAAATGGTCCGAGCACCAACCAGGTGAGCTGGTGTTGTTGTTGTTGTTTGTCTTCACATTAAACCGTATGTCAGTTGCTAAATGCCAAAATCTAGCAAAAGACTCTCGGCCCGTGGTCACGAAAGTGCTAGAGCCATCTGAGGATCTAGAGAACACGCACACATCTGACGAGAAAAAGGTATGCAAGAGCCCGAAGAGGTACACCTAAAAATCCCTGCAGCACCGTATGCGTGCCCAAAAACTGAACTGCACGTCCGTCCCACCGTTCGACTACAGTAGCATCACCCCCTCCCTGTCCCACTCTATACCAAAACGGAAGATTGCCGACTACAGCATAATGCTGTCTGAAGTGCTGTCTGTACAAAAAAAAACACCATGGTAGGCATGGAACAAGCAGCTGGCGGGGCACAAAGCTGCTGTCTGAAGTGCTGTCAGAATTACCAGAAGGTATGCTGTAGACTATATGTACCTACTACCAATCTTCTGATCGCGCACAACGGAAACCGAATATACAGCAGTTACAGCAGTATGCTAGAGATCACAAATTCGCAGCCAAGTTGGGATGACTTGCCACCCACAACAGGGGCGGTCTTCTCTGCGACATAACAGCAGTATGGCAGGGGGGGCGGGCAACGCATACCACCACAGAGCCAGAAAGGCACACGGCCAGACCAGAACAAAATGTTCCTGAACCCACTGCCGGCCGGGGCCCATGCCGATTTTTTTTGGCCCAGGGTCACGCCATTGACCAGGGGGGCTTGCGGAGCAACAACGGGGCCGGCTCAGCATACCCGAGGCAAAGTCCGCGACAAAGCCGTGAAGAAGAGAAAAAGAGAGGTGAATGGCGCAACAACTTTTGCTGCTCCTCTCTCTACCCCTTCGTGTTTGAGACCGATCGCTCTTTGACTCTCTGGCGTGACGAGCAACCAAGAGAGGGGCGCGAGAGAGAGAGATAGGGAGGGACAGCAAAAAACTCGGAATTCTTGGAACGCATTTGTCTGCTTATCGTCATACCTGACTTCGAAGTATATCTGATAAGGGATCTCTCCTCTCCTCTTGGCGAAGACCGCCTCGGGCGATGGTCCCCGTGATAGCTGCTGCTGCCGGTTCATGTTACGAACGTTTGGGTGGTGGTCCAGTGTCTGTGATGCTCGAAGCAGATGCTGGCAGCACAGATGAAAATAAGGGGAAACGTAGATGGCTCAAATTCCCCCCCCCGTGGACATTTTCCAGCGATTGACCCCTCCAGCCCGTTGCCCTTCAAACGGGTACACAAAAGCAGTAAGGCGTCGCGGCGAGACATATCTTCCAAGGGCGAATACAGACAGAGGATTGCTGCCGGGTGCCCTCAGACCTTTCCTCCTTGCGTAACGAGAAGGGAGTGCTGCACACAACGCCTAGGAGGAGCCGAGCGGATTGAAGGCGAGTCAGAGCGGCTGTACGCAGCGAGCGGAGAGAGGGGTTAGCGCAACGTAAGACACAACCGCGAGCGATCGAGGCAAAAGCAACAACCGGCGACTTACAGCTGCAAAGGAGAGGAGCGAATACGACGCAACACCGGCAGTGGGAGCACACTGTGTTGGTGAGGTCGTTCGCCACTACCGAAAGAACAAGACGGATTAAAAAAAACGCAGCACTCGAGGCAGGAAAGCGGGAACGCCCCACAACACAAGAGCTTAGTCTAAGCTTATCCTCTCCCCACCGCGCTTTCGGTCTGCCTCCACCGCAACGCACACAAGGGGCAAAAAGGACCGGTGGTTGGTCCCATGAGGCGAAAACAGCAGTCGTCGTCGGGCGCAGGAGCCGTGAGCAATCACGACCTTTACGATGCTGACCCGCCAAGGCCAGGACGCCTGCTCGGTATGTCAGCACCTGTGTCGGCGCCACAAGGCGGCGCGGCCGCCTTCAATGCCGCGAGCAGGGGATTGAGCTTCCCGGGCGCAACTGCAGCGTCGGGGGGGGGGCAGGGGGGCGGGGGCGGGGGCGGGGG